CTTACAACACCTACATCCTTGTTTTGCTTCACAACTCAAGTAAACACACACAACTTCCTCTGGCAAGACAATTCTCCCACACAACACACAGCACACTCTGCACACACACACACACACACACACACACACACACACAAGTCTCCAACAACAGCACCATCACCATGAACTTTCAACAATGGACCCCTGTAGCGTGGGGTGAGTTTGTTTGCTCGTGCTCGTGTGTCTGGATCTTGAAACAACTGTGTGCTCACATACACAGTGTCTCCCCCCATTAAAGGAGGCGTGATGTCAGACGGAGCTGCCTTTTCATAAGTTTCTTTCAACTGCGTGCTTGCGTTGCGTTGGTACAGTGCAATTCGGTCCATCAAATCATGTGGGAAAAGAGGAGCATCGCCCAGCTGCTTTGGGAAGCCTATTTGCCTTGGCAGGATGCCGGTGCATACTTCGAATGGAGTAAGCTTCGTCGACGCGGCAGGAGACGAGTTGATTGCAAACTCAATGGTTGGCAAGTACTCTGCCCACATGGATTCATGGGATTGTGTGTAAGACCGCAACATGTTTCCCACGACGCGATTAATGCGTTCAGTTTGCCCGTCAGTTTGGGCGTGGGAGCTTGTGCTCATCTTCATGCACACATTGAATTGTTTCATCACTGTTCTGTACAGCTTTGAAGTAAAGCGAGGGTCTCTGTCAGATATAAGTATTTCGGGAAGACCGTGCAGTCGGTATACACGTTGGACGAAGAGGTCGAGGCAGCCTTCGGCCGTCACCTCTGCTGTTGTGGGTGCAAGGTGGACCATCTTTGAAAACTTGTCAACGAAGACATATATGGCTGTGTACCCTTGAACGGTTTGTGGGAGGCCCACAATCAGGTCCATCGTAACGGTGTGCCAAGGCCGAGGCGCTACTGGCAGTGGTTGTGTGGGCACGCGAAGCTTCTTTCCAGTCTTCGACATGGCGCAGATGTGGCAAGTGTCAACGTAGCGTTTGACATCGGGATACAATCCCGGCCAGAAGTAAAAGCGAGCAACTCTCTGCTGTGTTTTTGTGACGCCTTGGTGTCCACTGCTTGGACTATCATGCGAGAGTGAAATGGCTTGCTGCTGTTGTGAAGCAGGGAGACAAATACGATTCTTGTAATATAAGACATCACCAACTCGAGAGAACTGCGGGAAAGCGTCAGTATTCGAAACAACTTTGCGCCAGTATGGATCCGATATGTAATCGTCCCAGGAGAAACGAAGACTGTCATCCTTCATGATTGTCTTTACCATAAAGGTTCTTGAAAGAGCGTCAGCAACGACGTTGCTTTCTCCTGGAATATATCGGAACTCGATATTGAATTCTGCCAGGAACAGCATCCAGCGGTTGATACGCGCTTCTTGTATTTTCGATTGGGCAAGCACCCGTTCCAAGGACTTGTGGTCTGTGAACACGGTAATCTTTCGACCCGCGCACAAATATCTCCAGTGTTTCAAGGCACGGATGACTCCTTTTGCCTGATAGGCCAGCGCGCTTCATGCACTGAGAGCGTTGAGGAAAAGAATTCGATTGGCCGGCCTTGAAACTGAATCGCGGCACCTATGGCCTTGTCGGATGCATCTGTGAAGAGATCAAGGGAATGTTCCGGTTTCAAATCAATGATTGGGCAGAGTGTAGGGAGCTTGGCCATTGTGGCTTTCAACCTGTGGAAGAGGCGTGTATCGTTCGAGGTCCAGTTTTCAAGTCGCCTTTTTGAGCGCTTTCCTGCGCCGCTCGTGTGGCGAAACAAGGGTTGTGTATAGCTCGCCAAGTTGCGGATGTACTTGCTGTAGTAATTAACAGCGCCCAGAAACTGGCGAAGCCCATGGACCGTTGTTGGAAGTTGCCAATCCAGAACAGGTTGCAGTTGGCCTTCAATGGGCCTATGTCCATCGATTGAAACAGTGTGGCCCAACCAATTCACAGATGTCTGTGCGAAAGAGCATTTGTCCCGGTTGAGATGGAGATTGTCTTGCTGTAGCGCCTGCAGCACTGCAGCTACGACTTCAAAATGGTGTTGAATTGAACCAGACGTGTGCACCAACACATCATCAAGATAACAGGACACGTTGCAACGAGGCAGGTGCTTGAGCACATTGTCCATAATTCTTTGGTACTGCGCTGGCGCATTGGCCAAGCCGAATGGAAGTACACAGTACTCGAATTGCCCAATGCTGGGCGCGAAAAAGGATGTGAGGTGGCAACAGGTTTCTTTGAGTTTGATTTGGTGGTACGCGGATTTCAAATCCAAACTGGTATACCAAGTGTGACCAGCAGCATTGTCAATGAGTTGCGAGAGAAGAGGTAATGGATATCGATGTGGTATCGTGACTTTATTGATGGCGCGATAATCCACGCACATGCGGAGAGACCCCGACTTTTTGGGCACGAACAAAACAGGCGATACCCAAGCAGAGCGAGAAGGACGAATCCATCCATTGGAAAGCAACTCTTCAATAGTCTTGGGGTGAAATTGTGGAGGACTCGAAGTCAATCTTGGGGTTGGCCTTCTGTAGGAAGTCCATTCCCAGAAGAACATCTTCGTGCAAGTCCCTAACTGCAGGAATACACATGTCAAATGTGTTGCCGAACCACTGGACCTTTGCAGTGAGGTATCGGTCAGTCGAGCAGTGCCGCCCGTCGGCAAGGGCCATGCTCAGGGATGCCCCTGGACGCGTGTCGTTGAAGCGACGAAGTCGACAGAGTGTGCGCTCTGCGCCGGTGTCGACGAGAGCGTTGACCTTTCGGCCGTTGACAAAGATGGTTGTGCGAAGGAGTGGCTTGCTTGTGGATACCGCATTAACGGAAGCAAGAGTCACCGGTCTACCATAACGGTCAAACATCACATCACGCACCACGTCAATCTGTGGGGTGGAATCGCTTGCCTCAGTGGAAGAGGTGGCCTGTGCATCAGGCAGCGGGGGAGGTGGAGGAGGAGGTGACTGAGGACCAGCCGCGTGGGTGGAGGAAGATGCTTCAACCAGAGAAGGACTGGAAGATGAAGATTGCACAACAACGGTGTTCGTCGTCACGCCTTGAAGGTGTTTGCCATTGGCGTGGAACTTGGCGTGACACTTGTCTTCAGAATGGTTAAATCGACCACAACGCCCGCAAGCCAGGGAACGAAACGATCGCTGGTGCTGGGGTCGCGAATGCTGGGGTCGCTGGTGCTGGGGTCGCTGATGCTGGTGTCGCTTGGCACGCTTGCTCCTGAATGGAGGGAAGTTCGACGATGTTGATGCTTGCGTGCGCTTCACCTTGAAGGGATTGGCGACGTAGTAGTTGTTGATGACGTCGAAGGCTTCTGCCACGTTCTTAGGACGACGGTCCCCTGCAAAGGCGACTAACTTGGGGTCCCGGAAAGCTTGGATCATGACGACTGCGGCAAACTGGTCCGCGTCGAAGTCAGACATCTGCGAGTGCAGACGGTCAGTGAACTCCTCAAAGTCCTCGTTGATCTTGGGAGTCAGGTTGAACAGCCGCATGTGGTGCTGCCATGGAGTCTTGAACGGACGGGTTCCGGTGCACGTCTTCTTGAACTCCTGCCAGAGCTTGTCCTTGGCGGCCTGGGTACGCGAGGGGTCCAAAGGATGCTTCTCAAAGAACTTGACGATGGTGCGATGGAAGGCGGGGTTGTTGGTGTTGCCGACGGCGCTTGAGATCTGGTCCGCTGGGTGGAGGCCGTGGAAGCGACAGACGAAGGCAAAACCATCCAGATTGGCGAAAGGATCGTGGCGAAGCGAAGAGACGATGGAGGGCGTCGATGGTTGAAGTGGAACCACCTGCTTCGCTTGCACGGGAGAGGTCGTTTCCTCGGTGTCGGAATCGTGAAGAAGGCAATCAGTCTCATCCATGGTCAAGGTCGGAGCTGTTGGGGTAAACAATCGCTACCAAGTGTTATGATGTGGAGATTGTGTGTATAGAAGCGTGAGTGTGTACGTGTGGGTGTGTACGTGTAGGGGTGCGTGCGTTATTACTGGTGATAGTAGTCGTTGTATTGAGGTAGACGAGGGAGTAAAAAGAATGAATCAACAGCACACAACAAGCGATGAGTAGGGACAGCGAGCGTGTTATGAACAAGGACCAACAGTGAACAAGTGACTTGATTTGAACAAGGGGAACATAATGAACAAAGGGCGTCCCGAACGAAATGAACAAGTGAGTAGGATGTGACGTAGTGAATGACATCACTACAGCAACAACACCAGCATGGGTGCGTTCTTGGAGAAGTGGTGATGGAAGAGGATGCACACGGCGCACTGCATATCAACACCAGCGATCCCATGAAGGAGCCCGTGTTTGTGAACGGAGTGGACGTTGGCGAGGAGATTGCGTCGTTGAGAAGCACTGTTTCAGCGCAGGCGAGGATGCTTGCAGAAGAGCGAGGCAGGAACAACGTGCTGGAAGATCG